AGCACACACTGTATACACAACGCAGCTGCACGAGAAGCTAGCGGAAGCTTTACATAAAGCTCGGCATAATCTCAGCACTTGCTAGGGCACAGCAGAAGGCGCTGTGGGACCCCACACATCGGAACGCACACTACGAAGTGGGCGATCTGGTGCTGTGGCACCATCATGTTCTCAGCGATGCTAGCAAGCAGTTTGCTGCCTCGCTGGCATCGAAATGGTCAGAGCCGTATTGAGTGGGAGAGAATGTTTCCTCGCACGTTTATCAGCTCGCGGACATGAAAGGCATACCAAACGGCGGACCAGTGCATGTATGTGACTTGAAACGCTACGTGTCACGGGAAGAGTACGAGGGCTACAGTCAGTCTCCCTTCAAGCCACGCGCGGTGGGCGAGATCGCTCGACACCGAGTGAGGAGCCCAGAACCGCGTTACTTCCTGCGTAACAGGCGAAGACAACTCTCCACGGCAGGCCGCATTTGATATGTTCGACGCGAGGTGCAAGGGTTCACGTGCAACACATGTGCGATTGTTAACCTGTCCTTTTTTCTGGGTCTACTTTCACCGAGCAGATGGAGACACGAAAGATAAAGAAGTGCCGCCGGAACAGCTCGGAGAGGAAATCACTCCTCTCGCAGGATCACTTCCAACAACATTCATGTTGTCATTGCGGCCCCATCCAACCAAGCAACGCCACTTCCAACCTACCCCATCGCCCTCATCATCGGGCGTTTACGCAAGAGGTGCCAGGGTTGTCCGGGTACCCTTATGGCCTCTGTTACCTCGAGGCCATGGCGTGGCACACCAAAGATGAGACTCCTGAGCCCGCCAGACCAGCGGAGCTGCGACCCTATGCGGCAGCCTAGACCTTGCTGGAGAGGGCAGCCTTAGGCCAGTGCTCAACGATACATGTAACGAACTGGCTACTCCTAGTCACCACTAGCACCCCGAGTGGAGGAGGTCAACGGGGCACGGTCCGGACCACAGTGATACCGGCACCGGATCCAGGGCGGCAGTGATGGCGGCGAAGGCGACAGCAGTGGCTGTAATGGCGGAGAAGGTCACAGCAGTGGCGATGACTGGCCATGATGCAAGTGGGCACGGAAACAGTGGTGGTGGGTACTTTGGATGCAGCAGCGACAAGTGGGGCATCGGCAGCACCCACGGCGGAGGGCTTAACCGCAGGAGGGCACGGATTTGGACCCTCCGTCCTATCCTTCCTCGAGGATGAATGACAAAATATTCTCATGTTGCAGTCTTTGTCATTCGGGGGGCCTTCTTCAGGGGGGGGGGGGGGGAATGGGGGGAGCACGTGCACCCAGTTTTCCTTACCCTTTTACGGCAACGCAACAGCCTGGTTGCAGGGACATGACTGTAGCTTCGAGAGTCAATAAAACCTCTGGGAGGGGATGGAAAACCCCTGCGGACAGCACTCGCGATTTTCCCTTTCCCAGCGCGCGAAATGGGTTTCCCTTCTCTCAGCGAGCAAAGGTATTACTCTCGTCAGGAAGAAGGAAACCGGGTCAGTGGACAGAACTAGCGTGCGGCTGTCCGCACGCTCTGACACCAGCCTAGGAAAAATGAGGTCGAACTCGCAATCCCCTGTGAGCCGAGGACGACAACGACCACGGAATAAGGGTCAACACCTTTGTTATCTGTCTCTGCATGCGACATTTTATGCACTATTGCTAAGGTATAGCTATAAAGTGTCATTTTGTTAACCTAGCCTGTTGCCTTATTCGCCCGAACCCGTGTAGCTGCAAGTAGACAAGCTACGGATAGTAGACGTTAATCGTGCACAATACGGCTGTGTGCAGCTAGGCTTCTGCGTCAGCCGTACATAGGACGAACCCCTTACAATTTAGAAATACCTGCACATTTTGACCCCTCTTTGATTATTTATTCTCTGTGCTAAGCTATATCAACTGTGTTATTTCTAGAGAGTTCGATTATGGCCGCGTTTTATTTTTTCATAAAATGTGGCTTCTGTGCACGGCAAAAGAGCACCTGGTGATATTCAGGCTGCCGAAGCCGCGGCGTCAAACCCGATTTTGACTGTATATAAGTTGCACCGACGAAAAAGTCAGAAAAAAAAAAAACACAACTTATACACGGAAAATATGGTAGTGCGAATGTTTTCTGGAAGAGAAAGTAACACATGTTCCTCCCCTAAACATGTGTTGATTGGGTTTCTAACAGACAGTGTGGTCCGCACACATAGCCTTGAAAGTCCTGGAATTTTTGTCATGTAAGCAAGCATTAATTGTGTTACAATTACTTGTAATCATGTCCCCTATACTTTATTTGGCATTATTGTCTGTTTGTTATCATTAATATTGTGCATCCCTTAAATTTACATGCTGCTTATACCTTTTACACAAAAAAGTACAAATATTGTAAACCCCTGTTATTAGTGGATCCAATCATTAGTGCTCATCTTTTTCTTCACTTTGCATGTTTCTTTATGCTCAAACTGAGCTGTACCATAATGCAACTCACCCTATTTACACTTTTTGTCAGGGGGCACTCCCATCTCTTATAGAATTCTAGTTGGGAATGACATTTCCATGTGTGTCACTTACCATCTGCCATGCTTGCTTTGTCACTTGCGCATCACCACAGTAAGCATCTGTGTTGTGGTGAAATCTGCACGTGACATTCTTTTGTGTAAACTGACTGGTAGGTGGTCTTCTTTGCATTAAAGCAGCATTCCCTGGTTGCACATAAATAAGCACTATATGAACCAAAAAGTTGCCGGCCTAGGGTTGTATTACTCCGGAAGATCTCAAACTGCATTTTGTCTGCACCAAGTCTGCTCCAAAACACATTTTCTTCTGCATAATTATGCTCCTGAATAGCTTTTATCCTGTTCCAAAAATGCTCTAAATCTTAAAATGGCTGTGCCACCGCTGAATAAGTAAGTAAATCTTGCACATGCAGTCATTGAAGTGCTGCTACAACTGCTCCAAACTGTTCTTAGATAGAAATGCTGCTTTATGCTGCTCCAGAATTTTATTTTTGTTAGTAATTGCTCCAAAATGGCATTGAGAGAATCGAAATTACCAAATTTTAAATCTTTGACAAACTCATAAGTCCTAAAGAAAACTGAAATGAATCTGCAAACTATCGTCCTACTGTGCTACTAGTGTGCATCATTATTAGCTCTGATCTCATTTATGCAACAAAAACTGGCATATTAAGCACATAGCTCAAATGCTTTTATCTCACACCTATTATGTACCTTTATTTGGCAATAGTTATATGGGACTGTGGTTATTTTTTAAAATGTGGTGCTTAACTTCACCGGTTTTATTTGATTGTGCCACACATACTAGTATTTTAAATACGTTACTCGTTTTAGAGCACATTTTTTGAAAGCCAGTCATCTCTTTGCTTCTTGATACTTATATTGATTGTTGTCAGTGAAATATTAGCATTTATGAGATGTTTCAGCAATCTCTCAATTGGTGTATGGCAAATTTTGTATCTGCTCCTAAGACACCAATAGCTTCTCCTGAGCAGTACTTTTTTAAAGTAAAACTTTTGTAAAGTAAAAAGTCACTTCCATCACTGTGCATGTCAAAGTGAGCCTTCTTGCCCACCACAATCACCATCTTGTTTTACTGTCGTTGAAAGTCTACACAACTTGCTGACACGTTGCCTTTTTTTCTATTATTTCTAATGAACAAGCTCTAAATTAAAGAGTATTAATCACTTGGGCTCGTATTCATAAACCAACTTTATTTTTATCTCCAGTTTTTTTATATCCATTTCGTGCTGTTGGCACATTTTATAAAAAAAAGTAGGATGTAGTGGAGCAGTGGTAATGGTGCTGTGCTGCAGACCCGAAAATCACAGGTACAGTTCTGGCTGCCGTGGTCACATTTCATGGAGATGAGATGGAGAGGCTCGTGCACTGTGCCACTTCGGCGTTTCTCATAGTCATATCTTGGTTTCGGGATGTGAAACCCAGATATTATTGAACAAAGTAGGACAGTATTCACAATTAAATCACATAAGCTTAAGCTTCTGCAGATCTGAGGCATGCTTGCAGCTATTGCGCGGGCTTTTTTGCGGCACTTCTCTTTTGTTGCTTCCTCCCATGCTCTGATGACGGCACGTGGCAATAGATGGCGCCACAGGTGTGGCACGCGTGGTCTCGGGCTGCGAGAGTTGGAAAGACCGAGTCACATGCTCGCAAGAGAACGCTCTTTTTCTCTCCTCGGGCAGCACACAGTAAGCACATATTTTCGTTCCCGTCTCGTTCCCTTGGGGAATCGCCGGACTGTAGCCTACCTGGATGCCTTGGCATTCTCGGTGGGCGTGTTTACTTTGTGCTAGCTCCGGTTCTGTGCGATAAGCAAAAAAGCGGTGCCTAGTGCTCATGCGGTGTTGCACTACGCTGAGCTGCCGGAAGCCTACGCTTACGAATTTGCCCTCGTGAACAGGCCATCACAGGAGGGCTCAGCATAACCACGAGATACCTTTTCCTGAGAGGCCTGTCAAAGCTCGTCATTGCCTGCTGCGACGTGCTTGCAGTTTCCCCTTTTGGTGCACGTTCACGTTAAGGAGCCCTTTGCTCCCCGCGTCCTGAGAGCGCACATTGTACTGTGTCTGGGTTTTGTTAGATTGAACACTGTCTGTTTTGCCGCGCGGCGCTAAAGGCCTTGCTAGATAAAGCATGTGTGGAGCAGTGCACTATACGTGAGCAGGGGACGGTATACACAGCTCTGGCTCGATAAGCCTGAATCTGCAGTGCTCGTGACCACGGGAAGTGCAAGAGATTACCACAAGTTAAATGTAAGATAAGGCTAAGGTTGGCTTTTTGAATATGGGCCTTAGAATGCCTGAGGCAGGAACACATTGTTCTACAATATAGTGAAGTGAAAAGAATTGAAATATATGCCTCCACAAGGCTGAGCAACAAGCCCAGGTACTAACCAGTAGTGTTTATGCAGTGGCCGCATTGTTTGTTGTCTTAGTGACCTCTTCATACACTTGCAGGCCTCGTCGTTATGAACTGGGCGAGTTGATTGACTACATGTTCAGGGTGATGCGAAGAGAAGTGGGATACATTCGCTACGACATGCGTTTTGACCCATTTTTCTTGTAAGTAACTTTGTGGGCCTGTTTGAGCACTTGTGATCAGCTGTATTCATGCTCTTGTAGGTTGCGTGTGCAGCTCCTTGAGACATTTGGCTTCAAGTATCCACACCTGTCATGGGAGAGGTTGGAAAGGGTATGTATGAAACTGAAACTGGTGGGCTCAGAAAGTCGAGAGAAATGTTTTCTGAATAAATGTTTTCTGAATAACAACTCGCCCCTAACTAAAAAATTATACTAATTGTTACAGCACCATATGATTCTTGTATGCTATATAGGCTGTTGGCAGTACTAACAATGGATGTGCACACACAAGTGCTAAGCTGCAGCCTTGAAAAAGAGAAGTCTGCTTGTCAAAATGTCAGCTCCAGCACCCACTCCTTGTTTACAAGTTCTTCCCCTTCTCCCCTTCTGTTTTAGTTTTTACTTTAATTGAAAAAAAAATTTACTTTAACGGATTTTACTGCTCTTGGTCCAAAGGCATTGATATCAACAATGCTGTTGTTCTGCCAAGTCATCCCCAGCCTGAACACAAGGGAAGTCCGGACTCCCCTGACCCCTCCATGATTTACGCCAGTGATGCTACTATACTGCTTGTATACTAGCTGCATACTAGCATACTGCATGTATTATAATAAATATAAATATTTATGAGATGCTTAAATAATGCTTTAGGCTTCAGCAATCTTTATGAATGTCCATCTGCTCTGAAAACACTTAATAATTGCCCTTAACTAACATTTTTTTTTTGCTTCGAAGGCACTTAAGGCTGCTCCAAAGCACAATTTTTTTCTGTTCCAGAATCTGCTCCAAAAACCAAAATGTTGCTTCTATCACTGCAGTGGTGTCTTACTTGATTTGAACAGCTGAATCTGAATACTGCTGCATCCTTCCAAGCTTTTTTGTGAAATATGTTAGAGCATGGCCATACTTTGGACAGTTGTGTTTTATTTGACTGGGTGTATAAACCAATGATATGTGTTTCCTCTACTAGGAGCACACGTCGGATGTTGTGTATTATGAGCACCCAACCCTGGAAGACCTGAAGGTGTCACTCACTTGTGTTGAGGACAGGTTCCCGTTCGAGCTCAAGTACTACCGTGAGGCTGCGTACTACGACCCAGATATTGCCCAGTTTGAGAAAGTTAGGCCTCCGCCTGTCATTCTCGATTGATTCTGTGTTACACAACAAATAAACAGGTCTAACAGAAACCAACTTGCACAATGTTTTCTTTACTATTCATTCCTTCAACCGGGCAAATGACCGAAGTACTTAATGTACCGGGGCACATCATTGCTAGCAGTGCTGTGAGGAGACATGACCAAACATACTGGCTCACGAGTGGCTACTAGGGCTGGTTGGCATTGCATTTTTGAAAGAAAAATACTTTCCTGGGAACGAGAATGTTTTAAAAGGAAGAAAGATCAGAGAAAAAGGACAGAGCGCACACTTACAACCAATTTTATTGCACAGATAGCGGGAATGTATATACGGTCAAGAGGGCGAGGAAACCACACACAGAAAAAAGGACAAATGATGGCACATGTGCAAGACCACCTTATTTCAATCTTGAAATAACAACCTAACTGAAAAGATACTTGCATTCATTATCCAACAGATTGACGGTCCAACAGAAAAGGAGAGGCTTGAAGACAGCTGAAATTCCTCACCGATTGTCTTCTTGCCATTAATCTAAAGCATGGTCCCTTCAAGAAAGCGAAGCAAATGTTCCGGCGAGATATGCAGGAGACCTCGCAAACTGCTGAGTTTCTTTGGCGTTTCATGGGAATTAGGCTACCAAAGAAAATACCAAAATCACTCGTTTTGGGGGCAGAAAGTGGTTCTTGGGAACAAAAGGATTCCCAATGACGTGGAGTGCCTTCTGGAACTCAGTAAAAAATACTGCATCCATCCGATGCTTGATAAGGCTGAATTGGTCAGTCTCATCAGGCAAGCTTCGGGCAGAACAAAAGCTGATGAATTTGAGAGCTGCATTCAACAGGGATCAAGTGTCTGCCCAAGAAACCCATGAGAGAAAGAACTTCCAAAATTTGGCATGTCATGTCTGCTCTTAATACAGCGGACATCAAGTTACTCGAGTCTGACAAGGAAGGAGGATTTGTCCTGGTTCCAAAACCACTCTATTAAGAAAAGGTAGTAGCAACAACACGCTGCGTGTACTCCAAGCCTGGGAGGAGGAAGAGGCGCACAGCATGCTGCACCTCTCTGCACCTCCTTTTGAATAAGTGCAGGCTGGCAGAGAACTTGTGGAGCACTATGCTTGTACCGCGACAAAACGAGAAAACCTGTGCAGAGCGCGCGGCACCAGTAAATCAAGTAGAAAAGTGCTGCACCCATTGAACTGGTGCTGCCAGTGCAGCTACATCGAAGAGACCTCAGATGGTGGTGTTTCAGTGCAAAGGCGGTGCAGATGGTGCAGGTGCAGCGTCATTGCGTCTCGTTTTTTCTCCTCTCAATCGAGGGCGCTGGTGCGTTGCCCGTCATCTGCTCTGTGCGCTTGCAAGGCGTGTCGTCGGCTCTGCGCCCGCAAGTCCTGTGCTAAAGCACTGAACGAGCCCAGGCCGGGTAAGGCAGTGTTGGATCGGGCCCAGGCTGGGCCCGGACCCATGAGCTTCGGGCTCGGGTCTTATATACCTTGTGTTTGAAGATATCACATGAAGGATGCATCCGCACTCTACCTGTGTTGTTTCCTTTTATTTTGGCAGAAGGCATCTTCAGATGTGCACAAACAATAATTACGGCAATAAATGAATCAATTAAACAGTTAACTTTTCACGCAATTTGAAACTGTTAACTTGTCATTGAAGGTGTTTTCGATGTCAGTGGTAGATGGGGTGTTTGGTGCACCGGCTTTGGTTCCGCCAGCTAAATCAGTCAGATTTAATCACTTCGCAGTGATTACCAGTGACCGTTTTTTGAAAATTTCAAAATAGCTTAGACTATTCGTAGAAAGAATTTTAACTCGCCCGTTTGTCTCGACCAGCTATTTCTAGTAGTTGAAAGTTTTTGTTTTAATTTATTTAATTACTGTCATAATTAGTGCAGATAGAAGCTGTCATCATTCCTTCCATTCGCGGCAAGATCGCTGAATCTTCAAAGGCGAATAATCTTCATGAAGTTATCATTGCAGAAGGTAAACCATTGGCGGATGCAATTGTTTTCCTAAGTGCCACCTGCGATTCCCGAGTAAGTCTTTTGATTGGATCAGACTGATTGTGAAAAGTAATGCCAAATAACAGCGAAGTCCTTTGGGTGTCGGGTAACTGAGCGTTAATCGCTATTAACACGTAAATGGAGTGGACTCTCCAAGGACCCTAGAGCTTTATACAATAATACCTAGAGAGGAATCTGGTGCTGCAATCATGTACCTCCATGGGAAGTACAGGCTTCGGATTGGATAGGGTTAGCTAGCGAACTGTCTACAGACTTTTTTTACAGTTTCAGTTTCGTTCTTCACGCAGCGCAGCTAGTTGGGCGTGGTAAAAAGCACTGAAACAGCGCCTTTGTGGTTCAAAGAGGCTGAAGACCTCTAGGTCTTAAGTTTGCTGCGACTTTGAAGCTTTACAAGACGTATTTTACAGTTTAGAAGCGTTGTCCACTCACCGCTGCGCATAGATGTAGCACCTCATGCCAGTGCATGATATTGCATTGAGTGTTCATGTTTTTTCCTGAGCGCACCTTGCCCGAATTCGTTTTAAATGCATAGCAAAACGATGACGAAGCTAAGTAGATGCACCGTCACGCTCCAATAACTCGACTTCACAACAGAACCAGAGGCGCGTTGGGGGCAGACCAGTTGGACAGACGCGCCTAGCATCTCAGAAGACGAAACGTTAAGTGCTTCTCACTTAATACTGTACTGTTATTTCAATAAATAAATAATTTGTACTTTCGAGAGAAAAACAATCTTATTTGTTTTCAAGCGTTGTAACAAATTATTAATGAAATCGGGATGCCAAATCTAGAACGCAATGGCAGAGCAATGCATTCCCTGATGGTCAAATTTGCCTTGGGGTGCTATTCTAGACATTGTCTAATTCTGCCATATTGTCGAATTTCGTAATGGTGGCATTTTAAGCCATTCAGAGAGGTCGTAGCAACTCACTTGGCCAATTAGCATCGATCAATGGTGGAATCTAACAATTTGGAGGAATCCGACAATGTCCAGAATAGCACCCCTGATTTCATTTCTGCCGTCTCGTCACAGAAACCTTTTGCAGTAAAGTTTACATTCAAACAAATAAAGCAAGTTTCAATTAAATACAAGTTCATATCACTTTGTTCTACTTTAGGAAAAGAAAGGTCCCGAATTTCAAGAACGTAATTCATCCAAAACGATCCGAAGCCTGTACTTCCCACAATTCCCAGGCAGTGACTGCTATGACCATACTACGGCCATGCTACAACCCAGTGAAAATAGCAAAAACGCTATTTTCACCTAACTTAGTTTGGATCCGTACAAAGCTATGGCTTTTGGAGAACGGTGGGTCAGGCAACCTGAGTTTCTCTGCAAAGTTAAATCTAGTTCTCTGGTCATATTTTTTTTTTTTTGCGTGTGGCGTGTTGTGGCTTTTGATGACAGTAGGTTAGGCAATTTCAGGTTCTCTCGGCGTGTGGCGTGTGTGTATGTGTATGGTGACTGCGTGCGTGTGTGGGATGAGCTGTACACATTTGTATTGTGCTGGACATGTGCTGATTGCTGTGTCCTTGTGGTGGGCGCGGGCACTGCGATTGTGCTCATCGTTGCCCATGTGTTTGACGAACGCGGACGGTGTTTGGAGCGCTTGAACGTAAACTGTGGTCCCTTGCACTAGAGACCATACTTGCACTGTCGCTACGTGCTTCAGCGTTATTTTTATGATTGCTAATAGAGGTTTTTAGCAAGCTACGAAAACACGTTATGGAAATACGACACGGTTCAGTGCTAGAAACCTCTAGTATTTGATTTTTATTTTCGGGTGAGGTGGCAGCATTTGTTGTATAAATTTTACCGAGCGTGAAAGTACGTTTTTCACTGTGCTTGATCATATGCTTCAGCAACTTGCTTTTGACTACATTGCCGCGTGCTCATCAATAGTATCAATTAATTAATGTGTGGCATTGCAGCCATTTTATTGGTCAACGAGGCTGATTTTCGCTCTCGGTTGAGCCATGCAAGTGTTACACGATATGATTTCGATTGAGATCCTAATCGTGATTGCAAAACGCAGAAGCGAGCCGTTCATGCTTGAAAAACACGAATAAAATTGAAAGAGCGTGTGTGGCACTACTCCAGCCTCATACAGCTGCACGATCGATAGTTACATAAACAAATGTTCGGCAGCTAGGTATGTAGAATGCGCGGTTTGCACCACGCAGGTTTTCCTGCCCACGTGGGCCTCATTTTCTGGCGTGAAATAGCACCCTTGTAAGCAATTAAAAAACTAGTATCAGTCTCTTTCAGTAATTAAAAAAAACAAATAGGCGCCTGTTTCCGTTTTTTCTGTAATTGGAAAGTAAGCGAATTTTTAGGGGGGGGATTTTCATCTATGTAGGATAACAGCAAAAAAGCACTGAAAAAGTGGTGACTTCTTTAAATGTATAAAAATGTTGTACAATGACATAATTTACCGTATGAGACTTACGTATACCATTGAAATAAGGTAACTGTGGTGTATTTAGCAAAACATACTAAATGACATTAAACATGTGGATGATGGTTATACGCACAGATGTATGTTCAACATTCGCGTACGTTTTATATATCCAGTTATTTACTTTCCTGTAATGAATCCAGCAGTAACACGAGTCTTAGCAACATCAAACCACAATTGACGTGAACTAGTCATGACGGCTGCATAATAAGAGTGCATCTGTTATTTTTGGAAAATTCTATAGTTAGCATAGCAACTGCAATTGACGTTTCATGCAACATTGTCCCTGAGTGGTGTCTATTTCCACAGCAGTGTCGAGACCTGGTATGGCTATGTGGTAGAATATTGATTGCCACACACAATGTTTTGTTTTCATTTCTGCTGGGGCCCTGACATTTTATTCATTGTATTCATAGGGTCAACACTGACTTTTTTTGGACGTTGTTGTTTTAAAATTACCAATATTATTTTTTGCCGTTCTTGGGTAGACGAACTGTCGATTACCTGTGGCACATAACTCCATACCTGCCAGATGTGTGCCACACATCTGGTAGAAAGGTT